CGACTGCAGGGGGAGTCGCAGCTCCAACCACGCGACCTTGGCAGGCTCCATCTGTGACCAGCTGCTGGTGTCCGAGACCCTCGGCGACAAGGGACACCTCTGGTGGGCTCAACCCACCTCGTGTCACGTTGCCACCAGCGCTGCTGGCACGGGGGAGAAGACATCAAACAGTGGGTGGTCATCTACCAGACATCGCTGCTGGCAGTGCTGTCACGTCAGCTGAGCCAGCCACCGTCAAGGAGAGCGCTTGCCTCGCCAGACTCTGAGGAGTGGCGCCAAGCCATCCTGTGTTGAGAGTCAGTGAGTTTCTGTTTTGTGTTGAGTCCTTCCTAATTTGCCTTCTCATGTGGTTTTGTCTTGTTTGCCAACAACACCTGCTTTGTGGTTTTTCCGTTGGCAAACATTCCTTCCTCTCTGCTGGCATGCATGTGTGCCAACTGCCTCTTCTCTCCTCCTCCTTCCCCTGCACACGTGAGTTGTGTGCCATGTGTGTGTGTGTGTGTGCATGCCCGTCATGCTTGGCAAATGCTATGCCTGCGTGCCATGTAGTGTTGTGAAGTGTTGTCTGTTGTGCATGCTTGCCTGCAAGCATTCATGCCATGCCTAGCATTGCTCTGCGCGCATGTATGCATGCTGCTCATTGTTTAGATTGTTTGTGTTCGTGCACACTCTGCCCATGTCGCCTTGACAGCGTCATTGACTGTGTGTGCACTTGTCTAGTGTTTGTTTGAGCGTGCTGCCCGAGTTGATTTGGCAGCAGCTTGTTGTGCTTGTTCATTCTCCTTGTGTTCTTGTTTGTTGCGTTTGCCTACAGTAAACACACACACCACCTGTCGTGTTTCTACATCCTGGACGAGTTTGCGGCAATGCAGGCCAATGACGTCTACGACGTCGTGCCTCGCGCTGACCTTCCCAAGGGCCACAAGCTTCTCCGCAGCATGGTCATCTTTCGGAGGAAGCGCGATGACCAGGGCAAGGTGATCAAGTACAAGGCGCGCTGGGTTGCCAAGGGCTACTCCCAGGTCCACGGTGTCAACTACACGGACACCTTTGCCCCGACGGCTACCATCGCAGCCATCCGCACCATGCTCGCCATGGCCGTCGCGCGTGGCATGGACATCCAGCAGATGGACGTCAACACGGCGTTCCTCAACGCGCCCGTGGATCACGAGATCTACGTCCAGCCACCGGCCGTCGACGGCATCTTCTCGCCGAATACGGTCCTGCGCCTCAAGCGCGGGCTGTATGGGCTGAAGCAGAGCCCGCGCCTGTGGAACCACACGCTGGACGCCTGGATGCGCGAGCAGGACTTCGTTGCCACAGCCACGGACGCCTGCATCTACCGCCGCACCTGCAAGGGTGGCAAGGTGATGTGGGTTGCCGTCTACGTGGACGACCTCCTCATCTTCGCCGACAGCGACAGCGACATGGCCGCGTTCAAGAAGGCCATCTCCAAGCGCTTCAAGATGAAGGACCTGGGCAGCCCAGACATTTGTCTCGGCATCAAGGTGCAGCACGACCGCAAGGCCAGGACCGTCACCATGAGCCAGGAGCACTACCTGCGCAACGTGCTGGAGACCTTCGGCATGGCTGACTGCAAGCCCGTCGGCACGCCGCTCTGCACGGGCTACGTCGACAAGCCAGCCGACAAGGAGGAGCCACTGCCGGACGTGCCGTTCCGCGAGCTGCTTGGCTCCCTCCTCTATGCTGCGACGATGACGCGCCCAGACATCTCGGCAGCTGTCTCCATCCTGTCTCGCCGCATGCAGCACTTCGGCATGGACCACTGGAAGGCTGCCAAGCACCTTCTTCGCTACATCAAGGGCACCTTGTCCTACACCATCAAGTACGCCGCCACTGGCGACGCCAGCAACGGCAGCACTGCCGACGGCGTGCTCTCAGCGTACTCGGATGCGTCCTTTGCCTCCGACGTTGACACGCGACGTTCCCGCACGGGCTTCGTCGTCTTCTGTTCCACGGGCCCCGTGTCCTGGAACTCCAAGCTGCAGGCCACCGTGGCCACAGCCTCCGCCGACGCGGAGTACATGGCTCTCGCAGCCACCGCACAGGAACTCATGTTCCTTCGCCAACTCCAGGAGGAGCTCACCGGTGCCGTCCTGTGCGAGCCCACGCTCGTCCACACGGACAACCAGCCGGCGCAGCGCGTTGCCGAACACGCCGCCTCGCGCATGCGGCACATCCTCGTCAAGTACCACTACATCCGCGAGTGCGTCGACACCAAGAGGATTGTGCTGAGCTACCTCGCCACGGAGCACATGATCGCAGATCTCCTCACGAAGATCCTCCCTCGGCCCAAGACGGCTCAGTTCTGCACGATGCTGTTCGACCAGCGTCCTCTGCCAGGCTGCCAGCCACGGGCCCGTCCTCATTCGGGCCGGTCGCCACGTCCTTCGACTCCGCGTCAGGACCTCTGAGTGGCCGCGCACCACAGGACACGCCTTCACTCGGGCCAGCCTTCCACAACAGGCTGCGCACCACAGGCACCAACCATTTTCTTAAACGTGTTCCACAACACACGTCCTTACTCGCATCTCACCTACATCTGCCCATGCCATTCCTACATGCATGACATCATCCACATGCTCATCACGTTTCAGAACATCAACGCAGCAGAGAGGTAGGTCAATGCGGGGGAGTGTTGACAGGCAAGTCCTGTCTGCTGAGTCATCATTGACCTCCCTTCTTCACGACACCACAAATTTACATTCACCTCTCTTGTGTTCTGGAATGTTCACGTGATTTCCCTCCAACCTGTTGCACGTGCAGTGTTTAGCTTGTGTGGTTGCTCGATGTTACATGCTCTTGCATAACACACCACATAACCACACAACTCTCAACAAACACTGCCACGTCACCACTTTGCGTTGTCGACAATTCTTGTCTTCTGCTCTGTTTCTTTCTGTTGGAGTGTTCATTCATCCTACATCCTTGTTTGCTTCACAACTCAAGTAAACACACACAACTTCCTCTTGCCAAGACAATCTCCCACACAACACACAGCATACTCTGCACACACAGCACACACACACACACACACAAGTCTCCAACAACAGCACCACCACCATGAACTTACAACAACCAGACCCGACACGAGGTTTGCGTGCGGGCTGCTGTGCAGGTACATGGACCGTTACACGACGGTCCACTGTTGACAGGCAAGTCCTGTCTGCTGAGTCATATCATTGACCTCCCTCCTTCACGACACCACAAATTTGCACTCACCTCTCTTGTGTTCTGGAACGTTCACGTGATTTCCCTCCAACCTGTTGCACGTGCAGTGTTTAGCTTGTGTGGTTGCTCGATGTTACATGCTCTTGCATAACACACCACATAACCACACAACTCTCAACAAACACTGCCACGTCACCACTTTGCGTTGTCGACAATTCTTGTCTTCTGCTCTGTTTCTTTCTGTTGGAGTGTTCATTCATCCTACATCCTTGTTTGCTTCACAACTCAAGTAAACACACACAACTTTCTTTTGCCAAGCCAATCTCCCACACAACACACAGCACATCCTGCACATCCTGCACATCCTGCACACCCTGCATACCCTGCACACCCTGCACACCCTGCACACCCTGCACACCCTGCACACCCTGCACACACTGCACATACACACACACACACAAGTCTCCAACAACAGCACCACCCTACCACCAGCATGAATGTTCAACACTGGTCTGTGGGGTGGCTGCCGTTGTACTTGCACACAGCTCGCAAACGGGTCATGCCGAAGAGAAGCCACTACCTTGGTGTCTCTGGCGGCCATGCGTGAAGGCTGCTCGACGTACTGCTCGACAACTTGTTCTTCCACGTCGCTGGCATCGTCCGACGAGGTTTCTTGATCTTGATTCTTGCGGGACATCGTGGTCTGCAGAACGTGGCTGACAAGCGCTGCCAACATGAGTTGCAATTTCACAGAAGGTCTAAAACTCAGGCATCGGCCTATTTATAATACAGTCCACAATGGATGACTTGCCTTCCATTGTGGGTGTGAGTGCGCGATTGGTGCGCGAGGTGGTGGCCGAGGTGCAGCGGGCGTTCCCCGACACGTATCGCAAAGTGTCGACGCGCGAGGTCTGTGCTCGTGTGGTACTGCCATGGACTCGCGCGCGAGCGTGTGCCCTTGTTGACCTGTATGACGACAAGGGACAGGAGTATGTGGGGCAGGCTAACGTGTTTGTGTCGCACGGCTGGGACTGCTGCGCCATGGACGTGCTCGACACAATGCTCGACTTTGCCTCCAACGAGCAAACTCAGCAAGACACTGCGCGTCCCATCTACTTTTGGCTGGATATCTTGGTTTGCAACCAACATGTATCATCGCCGGATTCGAGGGCATGGTATGTGTGTGTGTGTGTGTGCGTGTGCGTGTGCGTGTTCGCATGCTTGTGCGCATGTACGTGTGTGTGTGTGTGTGTGTGTGTGTGTGTGTGTGTGTGTTTGCACGCTTGTGCATGTACATGTGTGTGTGTGTGTGTGTGTACTGATGAGGTCTCAAACAATTTGCTGGTCTTGAAGAAGATGCGCACTCAGAGTCAACTGCTCCTGCTCGAGCCCGTATGCTGCTATTCTCACTCTTCACGCACTTCCCTTCCGCATCACCAATACCCCGTGCTTGCTAGGTGGGGCTCCACCCTGGAGAAAACAATTGGCGAGATTGGCCAAGTACTTCTGGTGCTGAGTCCGTGGCATGATCCTGTCCCGCTGACGCGTACATGGTGCTTGTGGGAGGTGTTTTGTTGCCTGATGCACGAGAGCGCAGCACTTTCCATTCGGGTTCCCAGCACGCAGCGATCTGCGTTGAGGAACGCTATCGTGCGCGACTACCAGGCGATCATGGACACCCTGGTGCATGTGCGTGTGGAAAACGCCACTGCATCTCGGCCCTTGGATCAGGAGGTGATATGGGAGGCAATTGAGCAGCAGGGCAACGGCGGTTTTGCACGGCTCAACAAGACAGTGAAAGACGAGATGCGTGCATGGTGCTTGCGCCAAGTGGAGCAGTTCGTGACGGAGATGGAGGCGGAGGCAACCGAGCCAACTGACACCTTCGTGGAGCTGTGCAGACAAGCGAGCTTGGTGATGTGGAGGTTCTATGAGCATGACAAGGCCACCCGCTTTGGTGAACTGGCTCTGGCGAGCGCCATTCGGCTATTTGGACCGAGACACGAGCGAGTGGCGGATGTGTGCCACGACCTCGGCCTCATCCACAACAGCAAGCAGGACCACCAAGGCGCCATATCGTACTTTGAGCGGGAGCTTGGCATGTCCAGGAACCTGAGGAATCGCAAGTCGCGCACGTCCGAGGCAACGACGCTTGGGTGCCTTGGTCAGGCATATGTGGGCCTGGGCCAGTATGACCGCGCGATTGAACTGCACAAGAAGGCCCTTCGCATCAAGGTGGCAGAGCTGGGCCAGCTACACGAGCTCACGGCCATCTCATACCATGACCTCGGTGAAGTGCACAAGCGGATGGGGGAGCACCACGAGGCGGTGGCGTGTTTCGAACAGGCGCTGCAAGGAAAACTGGCGGCGCGAGGAGAGAGGCATCCGCAGACTGCCGTGACACTGGGGGCCTTGGGTAAGGCCTACACTGCCATCGGACAATACGCCCGAGCTGTGGAGTACTTGGAGCAGGCGTTGCGCATTGAAGAGGAGACGCTTGGCGAGGAGCACCTGTCCACTGGAGTCACGTACCATGCTCTTGGTGCGGCATGTCTTCACGTTGGCGACTACGCCCGTGCTGTTGAGTACAACCAGAAGTCCCTTCACGTGCAGTTGCTGAAGCTGCCGGAGAACCACTCGTCCTTGCCCTGGTCGTACAACAACATGGGGCTGGCTTACTTGTGGGGAGGCAGATATGATGAGGCGCTCACGTGTTTGAAGCGTGCCCTCAACCTGTCGACTTCAGCTGCGCCTACCGCAGACGTTGCCACCACCCACCACAATATCGGCTTCTTGTACCACCAGCTTCAGCGACCGCACAAAGCTGTGCCGTACTTTGAACGTGCCATCGAGATCCGGCGTGAGGTACAAGGGGCGCAGCACGTGGACTTGGCAAACACGTACAGCCGATACGCTGCCGTGCTGCTGTCGCTGGGTGAGAGTGATCGGGCTATTGCCATGTGCGAGGATGCGGTGAAGATGTGTCTTTGCTCGGTTGGGGAGACGCATCTTGCGACGGCGGTGGCCTACGGCAGTATTGGTGACGCGTACAGCTGCATTGATGAGCATGCGACGGCACTGGCGTATTTGCGGAAGGCGATTGAGCTGAAAGAACAGCTTCTGGACAAGAGCCACCCCCGCACTGCCCTAGCGTACATGAGCCTTGGCGTGGCGTACGCTCGATGTGGCCACTGTGATGCTGGTCGCCCTCTCCTGGAGAAAGCCGTTGCAATTCTTGTGGCACGTCTCGGCGAGGAGCATCCACACACGCAGCGTGTGCAGCAACAGCTAGCGACCTTGTAGTCCACGGCACTCGCTGCGTGCGTATGTTCGTGCGTGACTTTGTGTGCGTGTGTGTGAATGTGTGTGTGTGTGGGGTTTTTTGTGGGCTCAACGTCGTGTCTCTGTCGATCATACAGACTGTTCATACTTTTCCAAACTCGTTTGCATTGGTTCATTAACGATCCACCTGGTTGAGGCAGGGGGGGGGGAGAGAGGGAAGCTTTCATAAAATAGACCATTGGCTAACAAACAAAGAAAGGTGACGTGACACCAAACAAGCAGAGTGACAACCCAAGGAGCTCTTCCTGATCACATGCATTAGTCGGTGAGATGGTAGGTAACATAACACGGGGGGGGGTTTCACATCTGTTGATGAATACACAGACACGCTCGCATAAGCAAAGGGGGATGAAAGAACAAGGCAGCCTGACGAGACAGGATCATTGCGCTTGTGTTTCATCCGCATCTCCGAGCTCAAGATCCTTGCCCGCTGGGAGCATGCTGAAATTCTCCTCTTCAAATGCCGCCAGTGACAAAGGGGTGTCCATGGTGGACGTGCGTGACTGCAATGATTGTGACACAACAGGGGGGAGGCACATGTACGAGACCGTGAGCATCGTGTGTTGTTGAGTTGCGCACGCCGGCGGTGGGCGAGGGTTGGAAGGGGGTCTCATCAGCACGTCGGCACCAACTCATACACACACATGTACTGCGCAGCACTCGCTTGGACAAACAAGCTGGCAGACGAGCACACGTAGGCAGACGACGACACACAGGAAGGCAACTCACACACACACATACACACACGGGAACACATGCATACACACACATACACACATTCACACACATTCACACACAACGCACGTCAGTTTGGGCGGAGGAGGGATCCACTTTGTCCGGCGGGAGTATGCTGAAATTCTCCTCTTCAAACGCCGCCAGTGACAAAGGGGTGTCCATGGTGGACGTGCGTGACTGCAATGATTGTGACACAACAGGGGCGAAGCACATGTACGAGACCGTGAGCATCGTGTGTTGTTGATTTCTTTGAGTTGCGCACGCTGGCGGTGGGCGAGTCGAATGGAGGGAGGGGGGCAACGTCAGCCATGCACACACACACACACACACACACACACACACACACACACACACACACACACACACACACACACACGTCAGTTTGGGCGGAGGAGGGACGAGACTGCTGCTGCCAGTTGAACCTCGCCAGTTTTGGTGTGGACGGAATGCGATGTGACGATGTCATAACCTTCTGGGATGGCAACGTCTCTCGTCGCCCGCGCACCGTTTGTTGCACCGTCCGATCGCGCAGGCAATGAAAGACGAAGATAAACAGCCCCTGTCAAGACGTGGCGGTGACCGTGTTGCGATGGCGCAGAGTGAGCCAAGCACAATCGCCTGTGTCTAGCATATACGCACACGCACACACACACAGTCACACACACAGTCACACACACAGTCACACGCACAAACAGTCACACACAGTCACATGAACACACACACACACACATCCCGAGGTGGGTGCTAGGGGCAATTTGGAATGCATTCACGTGTTGCACATGCGTTCGCAGCATATCCGTGCGTACTTGAAACGCGTTTAAGATGGCAAACGCGTATTGCATGGTGATGTCGCCGGAGATGGTGAGAATGCCAAACACCCAAGTGATGCCCATGACGCAGAAGAAGCTGGCGCTCACTTTGGCGCTGTGGGTGGTTGCGGACATGGGGACAAGGCGCATGGAACAGGGACAGAACAGCGAGGCAATTGGTTGCAAGTGAGTGAGTGGTTTGTTCGACAAACGTGATTCATGTACAGAGAAGACAAACGCGCAACATGGCCCAACTTGCTCTCAGCCCAGAGCATATTGAGCACGACATTATCATCATCATCATCATCATCATCATCATCATCATCATCATCATCATCATCATCATCATCATCATCAGCAGCAGCAGCAGCAGCAGCAGCAGCAGCAGCAGCGTGTGCGTACCCGCGAACAAACATGGACTGCCGTCTATTGTTGGCACGCGCCAGTCCAACGCTGATCACGGAGCGAAGAATTCGCGCAAAGACCACCATGTTTGCAGCAACGACAAAGCACAGCGGCCCGATAAACGACCAGATGGCGCCAGTGTCCCATCGAAGCCAACACACGTTCTCCGCCACGTACCTGCAGTGAAACACAAATAACACCAAGGGACATGAGTCACACGCAAGGCCAAACACACACGCACGCACACACACACACACACACACACACACACACAAGAACATGTGCAAGGTAAACACGAACACGCACGACAAAACACACACATACATAGACACACATAGACAAACAAAACACCCAACCAAACACAATCACAAACTCACATACATTTATTGCCACACACACACACACACACAAGCTTGTGTACTTGCGCACATTTCCATATGCACCACAAGCATGCGTACACAGGCTAGCACACAGAACACACTTCTCTGGTCCCAGGGCGGAGGCGGTGACACCGACGATGAGGGCGGGCACGAGATACGCAAACGCCGCGTACTGGAGGTGCGCTGTGGTGTCAGAGGTGGCTCTGGTGAAGACAACAACAAAGTTGTTGTGCAGATGAACACCTTCGATGAGCATCCAGGCAAACGCGCTGAGCAGGAAGAAGTGCAGCGATGTCGTGACGGCGACGCATCTGTTGGCGTCATGGCTTCCATGCACGCCAAACACAAGCAGCACCATGGCCACCGCGAGGGTGATGCACAGGTGCATGATCACCACGCGGCCCAGCGTGCGCAGCTTGCGATAACACGCAAAGACCGTGAACGTCAGCAGAAGCGAGGGCACGGACAGAGCGAGGCCCGCGTATGTGATGATGTCGAGGGCGAGCGCGGTGCTGCCCGTGGGCTGGTAGCCTGGTGGCGTCGTCATAATGGCAAAGTTGGTCAAGTGATTGCACGTGCACTCAACAACCGAAGGCGGAAGGGCCGGGTCGTTTGCCGTGGCATTGCAGCCAACACCAGACCATGCGCCCACGGAGCTGTGGTTCTGAAATTGCCAGAATACGCATGCATCCGAAGCGTCTTGCATGTGCATCGTCTTGTTGATGCGAAAGCGAATCTGGACAATGCATGGTCGTATTGATTGTTGTTTGCGTGAACACGTATGAGTGGCAACATGTCAGAGAAACAGCGCCGCACGTGCTTGCGAATCATGCGAGCTCTAGCATTTCATGTTCAACCATGCCACGGGCAAACCCCAGGAAACACACAACATCCTGCAAACACATACACACACAGAACATCACACACATGAGCAAACACACACACACACACACAACAATCACAGCATCAACTTGACGTACCGTTCCTTTAAACGGGGTGTTGTTGTCGCCGTCGGCCTGTGCGAGCAACACTGGTCCGTTCACAAACCTGACAGCCTGGCCGCCACCAGCATTCTCACCACCAACAACACCAGCATCAGCATCAACTGTCGTTGTTGTCCAGCGCGAGGACGTGGTCTCTGCGCTTTGAAACAGGCGAGCGGATCTGTACACGGCAAAGCTAAAGAATGCTGTTGGGTTCGTGGGCATCAATTCAGTGAGTAGCAGGTTGCCTGCACTGACCACTGCCTGTGCATTACTGTTGTTGCTGCTGTTGTTGCTGCTGCCACTGGTGCTGCTTCTGTGCTCGGGAGGAAACCGCACGTATGACTGGTTGTGTTGGAAACGAAACACGCCCACAACGACGTTTGCGCCTTCATGCATATTGGAACCATTGCTGGGCAGCGCACGCGCAGCACGAGCGAGTACAGATCCAAACAGCGCAGGCATTGTTGCCGACGATGTCGACTGTGTCGTGTCGTGTTGCGTGTGCATGTGCGTGTGTGCATGTGCGTGTGTGCATGTGCGTGTGTGCATGTGCGTGTGTGTGTGTGTGCACAAGTGTGCATGCGTGTATGTGTGCGTGCATGTGTTTGTGAGTCAATGGACAGATCAAGCAGGTCACATGTAGATTGAGTGCAGGTGTTGTCGACAACCATCACCAACACGCAGACACGTCATTACACCGTCCAATGGCCACATACGCGCGCTCACACACCTGTGTGATGTTTGATTCTGCTGCGCCGAGCGTTGCCTCGTTGACGTCCAGGAGGTGGTCAATGGTTGCTGCGAGATGTGTTGTGATATTCAGGACAACAGTGCTGCCCAAAGATGTGTTCCCCAGCACATTGCTCATTGTCTCCAGCACACGTGCCACCGCCGTCACATCCGCCGCTCCGATGAAGCCTGCTGACTGTGTCTCCTCGCTGAGCGTGGTCGCCACAACGGCGGCGTTGGCGGCGGTGACAGGCTGCGTTGCCAGCACTGCAAGCCGGTCGTTGCTGCATGCCGTGCTGTTCACGCGCCCAAGGACATTGGCTGCCGTGCAGCGTCGTGTTGCTGTCGCCGCCCGTGCTGTCGAGGGGCATTGCACGTGCGACAGTGCACCACAGCCAGCAACGGCAGGCCAAAGAACGCCGTCAAGCAGCTCTGCGGGACAAACACATTGGGTGTTTGCATCTGCCGGCGCTACCACTGTCGGGGTCACACGCGGCGGTGTAGCGCCAACGGTGGGCACTGGAGGCTGGGGCGCTTGCGACGGCGGGCCGTGGTTGCCCCTGCCTCTGACAGTCGTTGTCGATGGTGTTGTGGAGGTCATCGCTGTCACATCTGGCGTTGCCTGGGTGGCGGTTGCGCTTGCTGTTGTGCCAGTTGCAGTGGTGACGTTGGCGCTGGTTGACACCGTGATGTTGAGCAGGAAGTGCGCCAGGTCCCCGGTCCTGTGGTCGATGTGCACGTACACGGGCGTGGGTGTGGATGGCGTGTAGCTGATGCTTGTGTGGTTGGTCACAGGCTCTGCAGCGGCAACGTGCTCGCCTCCAGCCAACAGGTACATGTCGACGACACAGTGCGCGTGCCGAAAGTTAGGCACGATGGATGCCTCGACGGTGCACCCGGCACACACGTCAACCTGGTACCACATGGCCTCGCCACCACACAGTATCCTGCTCAGGTTCAAGTGCTTGTCGCCAGCAAGGACAAGCGCACCCTCAATGCTGAGCCCAATACCGTCACGTTCGCACCCGGTGCTAGTGGTGACAGGCGATGCGGTTGATGCTGTCGATGGTGGTCGTGTGGCGACAGCAGCAGTCGTTGGCGTCAACCCGAGCACATATTGCATGGGCCCACTGCCACTGTAGAAGGCAACCGCGACGAATACATCTGCGGCGACCACGCCGCCAATGGGCAGCACAATCTCTTCATCCCGCGCAACATTGGTGGAGCTGGCAGCGACGCTGGCATCTGTTGCGTTCACAACATACAGGTCGAGGTCGCCCCTGGTGTGATTGAGGGTCAGTCTGAGCTTGACATGTGTTGCGTTGGCGGGGAATGACGACAGGGCATACCAATCTTCACTGTTGGTGCCAGGACACAACATGGCGCCAATCTGTGCCGGCATCTTGGTTACAACCGCTGGGTTGCTGACCGAGTTTGGCTCGTAGCTGTCTGTGTCACTGCAGGATGGACTTGATGGAGTTGTTGTGAAGGTCAGCGGTAATGTGGTGGTCGCATCTTGACTGTTACTGCTACTGCTGCTGCTGCTGCTGCTGCTGCTGCTGCTGCTGCTGTTGAAGTTGTTGTCGTTGCCATGGTTGCCATGGTTGCCATTGTTGTTGTTGTTGTTGTTGTTGTTGTTGTTGCTGTTGTTGGTTTTGTTCATGCTGATGGTGGTGGTGGTCGTGGTGCCCACGTGAGCCCCGGTGGTTGTTGCCGACACCACGGACCCTGTTGCGGCGGCTGCTGGTGCACGCACATGAAATGCAATGCCATACTTGGTCAAGATGTCTGCACCTGTGAGCACCAACAAGACAGACTCGCTGGTGGCTGCCGAGTTTGTGTATGAGAGGGATGTTGGGGTGGAGAGGGACGTTGCTGACGCCAGGGGTGTGGCGCCATTATATGAGCGCAGCTCCAGGGCGACTGCAGGCAGCAGCTCGTAGAAGGTGACGGACACGCCGAGCTCACAGCCCGCACAGACGTGTATGCTGAAGTAGTCTTGTGTGTCGAAACACAGCCGCCCCTCGACGGGCTGGGGTTCAAGGGTGATGTTGACGCTCTGTCCCACGTCGTCGTTGGGTTCAAACGCATCGTTGTCGTTGCACAAGAGGCCTGCCGTGCGTGTGTGCGTGTGTGTGTGTGTGCGTGTGTGTGTTTGGTGAAGGCGATGGATCGAGTGAGGTGATCGCTGTACAATGCAGGGTGCACGCATTGTGGGTCGCAGGCAGGCAAGGCAAGCAAACATGCGTACAATGCACACTCACGCGCAAGCATTCGTGCACGCGCACAGCACACACACAGACACACAGACACACAGACACACACAGGAACACACACACACACACACACACACACGGACACGGGAACGCACACACACACACAGACACGGGAAAACACACACACACACACACACACACAGAAACGCACGCACACACACACACACACACGGACACGGGAACGCACACACACAGACAGACAGACAGACAGACACACACACACACACACACACACACACACACACACACACACACACACACACACACACACACACACACAGAAACGCACCGTGGCAATGGCCAAGCAGAAGAAGAAGGAGGAGAAGAACACCAGCATGCAGCATGGTCTTTGGTGGCTTGTCACACCGAAAGCTGGAAGAGACCACCATCCTTGCGCGTGTGCGGTGGGAACGGAGCACCCCACGCCTTGATATTTGAGCACCTTGGTGTTGGCTTGCGTGAGATAGCGGAAGAGGAGAAGAGGAGAAGAGGGGAAGGCGCACCGTCCACTTAAACAAACAGGAGAGGACAGGAACAGAGGGGAAATGCTGCACAGGGTCACGCTGAGCGGCCTGGGAACCAAGGCACAGGCAGCCAACAGAAGTGACCTAGCGTGTGTGCTTGTGTGTGTGTGTGTGTGTGTGTGTGTGTGTGTGTGTGTATGTGTGCTTGTGTGTGTGTGTGTGTGATGTGCGTGAGTGTGTGTGTGTGTGTGTTTACGTGTTGACGTGTGACAATGGTGGGGTAGGTTCGCCTTCCGTTCTCCGGGTGCGACTGCGCAATCGGAAGTCATCTTCACACATGACCGTTAGTGGTTGGCCCAAAGTCGTGTTTGTTGACACTGCCTCGCACCAAACTTTCACATGAACGCGCTTGAACATAGCGATGACGCGACGTGCGAAATTTATTATGACATCATCACAATGGAAGAAAAAGAGAAGAGAAGAAGGCCAGAGAAACAAACACGCACATCACATCACGCGCACGATGCAAGAAGGCTGCCCTGCACCCTAATGATACGTGTACGTGTGTGTCGATTGCTGATGTGAGCGTTGAATCATGAAACAATGGACGAATGCACGCGCAAGCAGAAGCAAGCAAGCAAGCAGGCACAGACGGGCGCATGGACGGACAATCGCTTATGCTCGCAACACACACACACACACGCACACACACGCACACACACACACACACACACACACACACACACACAAGCACACGCACACACACACTTGCGCACGTATATTTGCTTTGACGGGCGTCTGAGCGCAAGTAGTGCGTGGAGAACATCCACCATGTCATGTTCACTTGCAGCTTGCATTTCCAGTTCAAACTACAACGCAAGCAAGCAAAGAGCCACCGAGACATTTACACAAATACACCAGCAGTGTGAGCGCCAGCATGCAGACCAAGGAAAGCAAGCATTAACATGCAGGTACGCATGCACGTGCACGTGCACGTGCGCGTGTGTTTGCGCTTACGATGGCGTCGTCATCGGGGATCGGAGCGCCAAGCTGCAGCAACCGCCACGCCAGCGAGCCAAGGCCGGCTCGACACGCCCTGAAAAGGGCATCCGCGTGTTTCTTTCATGCAGCAAGAAGCAGGAAACCACATGAGGAAAACAGCAGGCATGGGACGGTCACACACACATACACTTCATACACACACACCACACGCATACACACATACACATACAAGAACTTACCGGTTGCGGTTCAAAGGATATCGCGGCACCGTGGTCGAGGAGCGTGTGGGCAATGGCTTCTTGCTTCTGGGCAATTGCAAGCGCAAGTGCATCCATCTGCGGGCGACTGCTCAGCTGTCAAGCGAATTGCATCCAATGCGCCACAGCACATAGTTGAGATACAGGCGACTCATGCACACACTCGCAGACACAGACAGGCAGGCAGACACAGGCTCAACACAGCAACCAACCTTTGCTTGAGACACCAGGAGAGAAGCATCTGCGCTCATGTCGGTCAGCAGCCACTGAACCTTGGCCAAGTCATGCGCAGCAATGGCAGCATGCAATGCAGTTTTGCCCTATCAACCGCACACACACACACACACATTTGCATGCACGAGGAGCATGATGCAGTTCATCGACAATTGTGTTGGTCACCCACGATGGACAGGTGTGGACGAGGGCAGATGTAGACAAGCACGGGAGCAAATGCATCAACACACTCACATGCACCCGTTCACACTCACACGCACATACACACATGTTCACAAATTCATGTTCACAAACACAAACACACACACACACATTTTCACAAACACAAACACACAGGCTCACACTCACACGCACATACACATACACGCACGAACACACGTATACGCACACACGTACCTTGACGGTAATGTTCACATTGATGGCTTTGTCTGCAAACCAGCGTACTGCTTCCAGCGTTCCATGTGTGCAAACGTGGTGGAACGCATACGACTGTAGCAATTGCAAGCAACGATGAGGTATGGGGTAAAGCACACCCTGAAATCACGACAATCACCAGCACCAGGTTTCGATGCGGTCGCAAACCTCCGCTCGCTCACCCCTTGTCTTGGGTCGGTCTTCAAGAGCTTCTCTGCTCTCCATAGGTCCCCTTTCATCACTGCCTTTGCAAGTCTGTTTGTCTGATGAGCGGGTGTGGGTGTCCCAGTGAGGCCTGGACCTCTCCCAGTCGCAGGAAAAAAAACAAAAACAAACAACGCCAAGGAATGAGCAGACACAGACGCATTCAAGCCGACGCACATATTTACACGGTGTGCGAAGCAACTAGGACTCACTGCTGCGTAGAATGCGTTCACGGTCCGTTTCCATTTGCCCTTCATGTCCAGCACACTTTGCTGTGGAGGATGAAAGGCAAATACGATGTGGTGGAATGTAAGGTAGCACAGAGACAGACACAAACAGATAAGACAGACAGGCAGGCAGGTAGGCAGGTAGGCAGGCAGGCAGGCAGGCAGACACACACACATACACACATACACACACACATACACACACACACACGTGCACTTTGAGGTCATATGAGTTGATAGGCTGCTTGGGGCCGATTGATTGCATGGGTCACATTTCACAGCAGCTCACGTTGTTTGCCTTGAGGTGCAAGTCTGCACCGTGTTGGAGCAAGGTGTCGATAATTTCTCGAATGGAGGGGTGTTGGCCTTGCACACAGCACAGATACAGCGGCGTTCGTCCCTGGCGAGTGACGCAAGTGGTGAGATGGTCGTGCCGCCAGTGAACGTGAGGGCGGAAGCACGCAGGTATGTTGTCGGTGACATGGCAACGCGCGAGAAGGTGTCATGCTCTGTTGCGATGATACAGACAGGGAGGGAGCGGAAGCGGCTAGTAAACACACAACACACACACACACACAAACACACACAGGCACACAGAGACAAAGCGACACACAGACACAGGCACAGACACAGACACACACACACACACAGATACAGACACACACAGACACACAGACACACACGGAGGTGTTCTCACCACGCTGTCGCGCGCGTTGACGTCTGCGCCCGATTGAAGCAGCAGTTTCGACATGGCGGCGTTCCGATTGCAGACAGCAAGGTGCAGCGGAGTCATGTGCTGTGGTGTGCAATCCAGGGAAGAAGAGCAACCACGCAACAAGCGTGAGAGATGCTCCACAGCGCGCAGGCGTCCAAGCAAGCACATGCACGTGCGCAAGCATTGAACTTGTGCCGGGGACAGGACGCCAGACAGTTGCACATCAGAACATGCAGCGCACCCGCTTGGACCCGATGGTATCCATCTGCACGCCGAGCCTGGCCAGAGCAGTGCGGGCACGGTGAGAGCCGCCGTCGCCAGCCCAGCCAGGCTGATGCGAGAAGAGTCCGGCCATGGGTAGCAGCGTAAGGGTAGAGGGAGAGAGAGAGAGAGAGAGAGAGAGAGAGAGAGAGAGAGAGTGTGTGTGTGTGTGTGTGTGTGTGTGTGTGTGTGTGTGTGAGTGAGTGAGTGAATACAACGACGAGGCAGTATGCATACAGGTAAGCAGCCAGGCAAGCAAGCAAGCAGTGCTTTTGCGCGCACGCACCACGTCAAGGGTACAGTTTACATCTGCACCATGTGTGAGCAGTGTTCGGGTCAGATCAGAGTTGTTGGCATTGACGGCACAGTGTAGTGCCGTCCACCCCTCGCATGCACCCTGCAAACAAAGCACAAGGTACACCATGCGTATACATGTACAATCAACACGCAGACACACACAACATGGGTGAATCGGCACACGGGTCAGGATAGGAAAGAGCCAAGCAGAGGGGGCACATGACGAAGTAAGGAGACAAGTGATAGAGAGAGACGCGCAGACAACTTGTCATGCATGCGCACTTACTCATACACACAGATACAGACACACAGAGGCACACACACACACACAGACACACAGACAGACACAGAGACAGACACAGACACACAGACAGACACAGACACAGACACAGAGGCACACACCGAGGCACACAGACAGACACAGAAAGACCTGGCGCGCAACGGCGTCAATGTTCACGCCTGCAGAGAGCAGCTGGTCGACAATGTCGGTGCCTCCACGATAACACGCTGTCGGCAACACGTCTTCCGCCTGGAGTATGCCGTGTGGCGGAAGAAGTGAGTTTCGACACGAGGGAGCATGGTTCACATGCGCAGGTCACTGAGAAGAGCATTAAGCATTAAAGGCGCGCACACACACACACACACACACACACACACACACACACACACACACACACACACACACACACACACACACGCACGCACACACACGCACGCAACATCAGTGCTCTGTACGCACCAACGTCTGCGCGAGGGAGATGTGCTGGAACGGGGACCGGGCTGTCACGGCGCCGTCCATGTCGTATGTGTCTGTCTCCTTGCCCAATTCAGCCGTCACCTATGTGTTTGCCGCAGATCAGCAGTTATTGAACACAGGCATCGAACACAGGGAAGCAAACAAGGAAGCAAAGAAGGAACGATGATGAGCAAGCGGCGCCGGTCGTTCTGGCTTGAAGGCAGCTGCGCTCCACCCATCGACGCAGGCCAAGCAGAGGGGGCACATGACGAAGTAAGGAGACAAGTGATAGAGAGAGACGCGCAGACAACTTGTCATGCATGCGCACTTACTCATACACACAGATACAGACACACAGAGGCACACACACACACACAGACACACAGACAGACACAGAGACAGACACAGACACACAGACAGACACAGACACAGACACAGAGGCACACACCGAGGCACACAGACAGACACAGAAAGACCTGGCGCGCAACGGCGTCAATGTTCACGCCTGCAGAGAGCAGCTGGTCGACAATGTCGGTGCCTCCACGATAACACGCTGTCGGCAACACGTCTTCCGCCTGGAGTATGCCGTGTGGCGGAAGAAGTGAGTTTCGACACGAGGGAGCATGGTTCACATGCGCAGGTCACTGAGAAGAGCATTAAGCATTAAAGGCGCGCACACACACACACACACACACACACACACACACACACACACACACACACACAGACACACAGACACACAGACAGACACAGGCACACAGACAGACACAGGCACACAGACACACAGACACACAGACACACACAGACACACAGACACACAGACACACACACGCAGACACACACACAGACACACACACAGACACACACACACAGACACACACAGACACACACATACACCAACCTCATGAGTATTGGCAGCACCGGCTTCCACCAAGATGCGTGCACATGCAACGGCTTGGTTATCAACACAAAGTTCCAGCGGCGAGACGGTGGCTACGTCGTCATGCACAGCGCGGTTCAGCAGCAGTCTTGGCTCGTGCCGCAGCAGGCTTCGCAGGCACTGGGTGTTGTTCTGAGTGCACGCCTTTTGCATGGCCAGTCTGAGTGCATCCTCTGCATACACGTGCTCCTGCAACAAGCGTGCTACCTCTTCCTCGTTCCTCTCGTCACACGCTCGAAGCAGCGCCTCCACATCGCCTTCTCCAACAGCAACACGCAAATCCATCGTCTCCTGTCAAGCAAGCAAGCAGCTCATTAAAAGTTGCTTCCGTGTTGTTCTTCCTCCCCCCATCATCATCGATTGCATCATGTCAAGACACTGGACGTGGTGGGTTGTTTGCACCTCTTCACTGTGTTGGCGCAATGAAAGGTTCCATGTCATGCACACACACACACACACACACACACACACACACACACACACACACACACACACACACACACACACACACACACACACACACACACACACGAGCAGTGGGGAGAAGGGGAGATGTAACACGGAACGAAAAGGGAGAAAGCAGCCGCCGAGTTGTGTGGTGTGCAGCGCAGAGCAGAGGGACTGGCGTTGTTGTCGTGCCTGTGCGGCTCTTGTGTGACGCATGGCATGGTGGCATGAATGAAGCTGTTCACTTGGAGGCCTGGTGGGCGTACATGTCGTTGATCTGGCGCCGACAACAACGATGATGAACGCACATAGGAGGAAGGGTAGAAAGGTAGCGGGCGTGTGAGTGTGTGAGTGGTCGAGTGAGTTGTGTGTGTGTGTGTGGGGGGGGGGGGACTAAAGCACACCAGATACAATCATGGGTCGCAGTTACGCACATACACACGCACACACCTGCTTGAGGTAGCGGGCCTTGAGCTGAGGGCGGCGCAGCTTGAACGTCGGAGTGAGGCAGCCGTTCTGGACGGTGAAGCCTTGCATCAGCTCGTTCACCTCACCCTGAAAGAACACACACACACACAGACACAGACACACACAGACACAGACACACACACACAGACACACACAGACACACACACACACACACACACACATACACACACACATACATACCACGAGGCAACAACGTAGGTGCAAGCATAAGTGCACGGGCACACCAGCAGCCGGCTCGGGTACTAAGTACCCCACAGCACACGCGCACGCGCACACAAATTCACGTTTTGCAACATATGCACACACCTCGACGTGCACGGCCTTTGGAATCTTGAAGCTCGCGAGCTTGGCGGCCTTTCCTTCGCGCTTGATCTCCTCAAGCAGGAGCACGTTTACCTGAGACAGACACCACGGCACATGGGGATGAAGCAAGGATCACAATGGAATTAGCCCTGGTGATATTGACGTGGACAAACAATGTGGACACACGATGTCACGAAGGGAAAACACCACACAGTGACAGATGATGCACGCATCACATGGTCACACGCCATGCTCGCATTCATGCACTGTCATGACAGGCGAAGATAACAAGCACAACAGCGCACCCTCGGGTCCTGCGTTGCCGTGGCAAAGTCGCCCTCAATGCCCTGCTCGCGAAGCCAGGGCTCCAGCGTCTCCTTGTCCGGAACAACAATGGCCACGAGCGTGGGCTGTGTGCTGTCACCGTACACGAAGATCTGGCCAATGTATTTGCTCCGATGGAAGATGCCCTCCAGCTCTGCAGGGCGAAGGCAAGAGAGAGGGGGGAGAAGTGGTGGGGTAAGTGGTGGGTGGAGGAGAGCAGATCGCAAACGCATCACAGATGAGCTGATGGAGGTACAAGTTGATACCCACAAAAACAACACACACACAAACACATGTACACATGTACACGCAGCAACAAGGCACCAACCTTCGGCTGCGACGTATTCGCCGTGCGCGAGCTTGAAGATGTTTTTCTTGCGGTCGATGACTTGGATGGACCCGTCGTCAACAATCTGATGGCGCAGTGGTGGATGTAGGGGCGGGTGGATGGAAGGAGGTGAGCATGTGTGGACGCTGTGGCCTTGATGGCGCTCCCACATGGCACCGCAATGCATGACATGGCACACAAACACAGACACACAGACACAGACACAGACACAGACACACACACACACACACAAACAAACAAACACGCACACACACACAAACAAACAAACAAACAAACACACACACACACACAGACAAATGATGGTGCCGGCACCTGGCCAATGTCGCCGGTGTGGAGCCAGCCGTCGACGAGCGTCTCGGCCGTCTTGTCGGGCAGGTTGTGGTAGCCGTGGAACACATTCTTGCCGCGGATACAGATCTCACCGCGGGGGAACGGCTTGTCTGGTGACGAGAGGGATGGGCAGCAGTAGCAGCAGCAGAAGGAGACAGAGGAACGGTGTACGCATGATGAGCAGGGCAAGCACGCCAAATGGGTGATGCTAGGGACGAAGAAGAATTGCTCACAAACACCACCACGGGCCGTAAATACACACAAACACATACACAACGGAGGACGACACATTCACATACACACACAGACAGCACACACGCAGACAGCACACACACACACACACACACAGAGAGAGACACGCAGACAGCACACACACAGACAGCACACACACACACACACACAGATGTCATCCATCCATATCACCTTTGGAGGTGTACTCGAGCTCCGGCACGTCCTCAAGCTTAATCTCGCAGCAGGGGACAGGCTCGCCAATGGTGCCTGCGCGCGCATAACCAAGCGGTGTGGCGCATGCGGCGGCGGCGTTCTCCGTCATGCCGTACCCTTGCAGCACATCGCAGCAGAAGACAACCTTGAGGAAGTCCATGATGTGCGCAGGCAGCGGCGCAGCGCCAGAGACCATCAGCCGGATGCGGCCTGGAGATGATTGTGTGTGTTTGGGAAGGGGGGGGGGAGATAGTGGTGAGCGGGGTGGTGTGGAGCGGTGGAAGGAAGGATGAAGGAGAGACAGACACGCAAAACACACACACACACACACACACACACACATACACGGACACAGACACGCAAAACATACACACACAGACACACACCTCCGAGCCGCTCCTTGGTTTTGTTGAAGATGAGGGCGTCCCACAGCGCATTGCGAGTGCCGTTCTGCACGTTGCCGAGTTGATTGCCCATGGCAAAGTTGAACAGCGTCTGCTTCAGCCAGCCAGAGCTCTCAACCGTTTGTGTCACCTGCACACCACAGGTGACCGAAAAGGGGAAGGGAAGGGGTGAGTGGAGGTGATAGGACACTGAATAAATGCTGGTGGGACAGACACATGCTCACGGACTGCGAAGGAAAACAACTACCAGCACGTCCACAAAAGCACACACACACACACACACACACGCACGCACTTAAACACAGACATTTTCGCGACTGCACCTTGTCGTAGAAGCGGGAGTAGACGCGTGGCACGCCGGCAAAGACGGTTGGGCGAAGGGCCTGGATGTCGTCCATCAGCAGTCTGACGTTTCCTTGGTAGAACCCAATGGAGGCACCGCCTGTAAAGCACATCACCTCCACAATGGCCTCGAAGATGTGTGCGAGCGGGAGATAGCTGCCAGTGGCCCGTGCATGCGGCGCCACGTGAATCGAAAGAAGCGAGTGGGGTCGTGGGGGTCGTGGGGGTGAGGGTCGTACAAGGCCTCTCTGTGCATGACAACAACATGAGCCCACCCCAGCAAATACGCACATACGCATAGACGCACACACAAACACCTACACAGACATACACACACACACACCTGAGGTAGACGTCGTGCTGGTAGATGGTGACGTTCATGCCCAACAGGCCCGCGGTGGAGGTGACGACGTTGCAGTGGGACAGCCGCACGCCCTTGGGGTTGCCCGTCGTGCCAGAGGTATACATGACGTCTGCAAAATGGATTTCATGTGTCTCCCAAAGTGAGCACGTGCCAACCACGCACAGGCACACAGAAGCACACAGAAGCACACACACACACACACACACACACACACACACACACACAAACACACACACAGACAGAAACACAGACACACACACACACACTAAGGGACGTACATGCGAGGTCATCTGGGGAAATGTCAGCTGGAGGAACGGCCTTCTCTGCCTGGGCCTTGAACTCGTCAAGGGACAGGAGGGTCACGCCTTCGGGGACCTGTTTCAACGGAGGAAAGGGGGCAATGGGTTGAATGCACAGCGGGGTACACAGACGTGCACAAACACAGACACAGACACAGACACAGACACAGACACAGACACACACGCACATGCCCATGCCCACAGACACGCACACGCACATGCCCACAGACACACACACACACACAGACACACAGACATACAGACATACACAGCAGATACACAGACACACACACACAGACACACACACACACACAGACACACACACGATACCAACCTTGGCCCTGTGCTCGTCATCGACGGGCTCAAACTGGATGACGGTGGTGACATCACAGTGATCCACAACTTCAAGGACCTGATCAATCTTCGCTTTCTCGCAGAACACGGTGGTGACCTTTGCATCGCGAAGAATGAACTTGCTCGACTCTGCCCCGAGCGTGTCGTAGAGCGGTACGCACACGTGGCCCTGCCGCCACACAGCAAGCAGGGACTTGACCCAGCCCATGGAGTTGACGCCGAAGATGCTGATGGTGGAGTGAGGGTCCAGGTTCAATTGGGCAATGGCTGAGCCGATCTTCGCCACCTCGTCGCCCACTTGTCCGTACGTCTCGAAGGTGTACGGGCCAACGCTGCCCTCGTCGTTCACGGGGCGGTACCCCAGCATGTCGTTGTCCTTGAACTTCTTGGTCGCCCTGGCATGTCACATACAGGGACGGATGTAAGTGTGTGAGTGTGTGTATGTATGTATGTATGTATGTATGTATGTATGTATGTATGTATGTATGTATGTATGTATGTATGTATGTATGTATGTATGTATGTATGTATGTATGTATGTATGTATGTATGTATGTATGTATGTATGTATGTATGCATGTATGTGTGTGAGAGAGAGAGAGAGTGAGAGAGTGTGTGTGAGAGAGAGAGAGTGAGAGAGAGTGTGTGAGTGTGTGTGTGTGTGTGTGTGCGACACAAGCTGGTCGTCGGTGCAAGAGGGGTTGCGTTTGACAAGGAGGAAATATGTGAACACGCGCACCTCTCGAAGATGCGCCATAGCGTGTTGACGTCCGGTTCATCTTCAAATGGGAGGCTGATGATCTTGTTTGGCTGTTTGCTGTTGCGAATGATCGGGGAGCTTGTCTACAAAACCCAAACAGCCGCCATCGTGCATCAAGAGGTGAACTGCGTGAGCATGAACGGAACACATCTTGCACACCAATAACAACCAACATTTTGGTGGTGTGGTGACAAGGAACATCTCGTTGCCACCATCAACACACACATGCACACACCTCCGTGGCAGAGTTGGGGACTTGGTAGCCAACACGGTCAATCAAGGTGGACGGTGACAGGCCCATGGTGCTGGTTGCGGCGGTGGAAGCAGGGTGTTGTAGGTGAGTGTGCTTTGTGTTGTTGTTGTTGTGTTGTTGTGGATTGGTCCTACCGCGGTGGATACAACGATTATATGACCTAATGCGTACCTTACTTTGCACCTGAATTCAGTCGAAGTGCGACAACACACACACACACACACACACGCACACAACACACACACAGACACACACACGCACACACACAGACACACAACACACAGACACGCAGACACAGACACACAACACACGCACACACACACACACACACACACACACACACACAACCGTTCTCATTCCATATCTGTCTCGCATTCCCACATGTGCATTTCATTGTCACATCAAACATAACCTCTCAATTCAAGCAAAACCAATTCAAGCAAAACCAAGCCAAGCAAGCACATCGTCATCGTCTCAATCAAGCCAAACAAGCGCACACAAACAAGGGAGGGATCACCACCATCACCACAAACAAAAGGAACCCTGGCACCGAAACAAGCCGAAAGAAAGACTCGCAGGGCTGGGCATGCGCGTGCGGTGGTGCGTTGGTTGTTTAGGCCTCGGGGTTGTACTCGCACGTCTCCGGGTAGGTGCAGCCGGAGCGCTTGATGATGAGGCAGGCTGCCCAGTGGCCCGCATGCACGCACGCGTCGACGTCCTTGCCCTGGATGAGCTGGCTCAGGAAGCCGCCAACAAAAGCGTCGCCGGCGCCGTTGGTGTCCACAATGTGCTCGGCATCAATCTCGTGCACGGGGTACTCCGTCACCTTGCCCTCCGTGGCCACAATCGTGGGGTTGGCGCCGTGCGTGATCACCACAATGCGTGGGCGCTCCTTGTTCACCTTGGGCACAAAGTGGGGTTGCAGTGGGGTTGTGGTGTAACCAAGTGAGCAAGCAGGAGGAAGCGGGGATTATAGGGCGTGTGAAGCAGAGAGGTTGAATGCACACAATTGCACACACAATCATGTCACAAGATCCCTCAACGACAAGTCTGCCGAGGTCATGGTCGCGGCAAGCGCCAGCCCACCTCCAACACACACACACACACACACACACACACACACACACACACACACCTTGGGGAGGTCCATCATGCGTGTGGCAATCTCCTTGAGGTCGGTGGTGCCAAAGTCTGCGGCCTTGGAGAACGCCTCTGCCTCAGACTCGTTGCCAAAGATCACATCCCTAACAACACACGCGCGCACACACGTGGCAGTAATGTCAGATAGGTCCTTGCAATCATGCACGGGTGTGTGTGTGTGTGCATTTGTGTGCGTGTATGCGTGTGTGTGTGTGCGTGTGTATGTGCGTGAATGGTTGGCTCACCAGTACTGGGAGGCCTCCATGAGGGGCTCCTTGAAGAACTGGCAGATGAAGGGCGCAGCAATGTTCATGGCAAACACCTGTCGATGGAACGAAACCACAGCAGTGATGTTGATGATACCGATGGTGAGCTGGTGACAGGAGTGGTGCTCGACAGTGTGCATTCTCTGAAGCAATCAATGCCTCCTGCACCATACAAACACGTGCGCACGAAGAAGGCGGGCAGTCCGCTCGCAAGCACACAACGGTGGCCACTGTACCTTGTTGGTCTCTGCGGCATGCTTGGCAACCTTCATGATGGAGGGAGGAGAGACGGTGATGAAGAAGCTGGAGATGTAGTAGTACTTGGCAGACTCAACGAGGCCCCAGATCTCCTGTGGCGAGAGCAATCAATCAGCGACAATAACAAGGGGCAGCGGGAGAGGTCAGGCAAGGCGGGTGAGACACGTGCAGTGGTGAGGCAAGGGGAGAGAGAGGAGGGTGATTGTGGGGCGCTTTCCCCAACACACAGGCAGAGCAGCAGGCAGAAAGTTGGACGCGCGTGCACATACACACCGACACACACACACACCGACACACACGCACGCACACGCACGCACGCACGCACGCATGCACACACACATACACACACACACACCGACACACACGCACGCACACGCACGCACACGCACGCACGCACGCATGCACACACACATACACACACATACATACACACACGCACGCACGGGCTTCTCGAGATGATCCAGCTTGTAGTTGTTGGCAGCAGAGATGTTGGCAACAAGCGTGCGCTCCTTGCCCGTCACAAGCACAGCGCACGTGCCTAACGAATGTGCACACAAGGAAAGAGCACAGGGCGTAAGTGTTGTTGCGTTGTGGCATTGTGAGCGGGAGGGGGGGGGGGAAACATGGTGAGATCAGCACCACAAATCGGCGCCTGTACACCGCAGCAGAAGCATCGCCAGTGGTGCCTGCACACCGGTCCAGCAGCTAGCAATTCTCTCCCAGGTGTTGCGACATGCCGCTCAACTCCACCTCCCTCCCCAAGTCGACACGACCATGGAACTGACCAGTAGGGGTGGACTCATCCTCCATGTATGCCACGTTGACCTTGGCGCCCTCGGCAGCCTCCTTCAGCGCCTCAGAGTACTTGTCCTTGCCTGTGAGCAAGCGAGCGAGTGTGTGAACGCGTGAGATGTGGGCTACATACGAGGGACTCCACAGACTGGCGTACTTGTCATGTGTTGATGGTGGTGTGGGGCGGCAATGTGATGCGGCAAAGTGTTGGGTGGTGTCAAAGAAAGCAAGCGGCGATGTTGGTGAGCATCGTACCGACGCAGCCGATGAACGACGCGGTCTTGGGCACGTGGACCATCCACTGGCACACGCGGATGGAGTTCTGAGTGGCACCGCCGGCAATGTACTCGACGTCGTAGTTGTCCACGAGCTCCTTGTACCTGGGAGAAGGGGGAAGGGGGAGGGGGTGGGGTGAAGGTCACAAAACGCATGCGTGGTGTGTGTGTGTGTGTGTTTGTGTTTGTGTGTGTGTGTGTTTGTGTTTGTGTGTGTGTTTGTGTGTGTGTTTGTGTTTGTGTGTGTGTGTTGGTTCAACCGAGAGTAAAGTGCGGATCAAGGAACGCAGACGTACAGGGGCAGGTGCTTCTCCTCGGCGAGGATGGCGAGGTTGCGCTCGAGGTGGAACCTGGACAACGGTTGATCGACACCGATACATAGCAGGAGAGAATGGGGACAGGACCATATGTGCGGGGGGCGCGAGTGGGTTGGCCATGTATGAGCGTAGCCACCCGTGTAGTGCGATGGACGCGAGCAAGCGAGCAAAACGAACAAGCGAGCAGGCGAGCGAGCGCAAGCCAGGGAGTAGTCGCACGGCAGAGCACGACGCACTTCTCAAGCATGTCGTCTTTGACGTGGGCGGAGATGTCGAGGAGAGGGTTGCCCATACCGAGCAGAAGGTTCTCGCGAACTGAGAGAGCAGACAAAAAGGCGCAACGCCACCACACATGGTGAGAGAAGAGCAGCAGCAAGCGTGTGGACGGGACAGAGGTGCATGGGCGTGTGAAGAGCCGGACACAAACGGACGTGTGCACACGAACAGACACAAGAGGTCGACGTGCAAACAAGTAAGACAGAGGTAGCTGCACACAGACGCAGACACACACACACAGAGAGAGAGAGAGAGAGAGAGAGAGAGAGAGAGAGAGAGAGAGAGAGAGACAGAGAGAGAGAGACAGAGAGAGAGAGAGACAGAGAGAGAGAGAGAGAGAGAGAGAGAGAGAGACAGAGACAGAGAGAGAGAGGGAGAGAGAGACAGACAGACAGACAGACACAGACACAGACACAGACACAGACACAGGCACAGACACAGACGCACAGACACAAGGATGTCGCACCGTTGGACATGGTTGGTTGGTTGGTTGGTTGGTTGTTGTGCAAAGGGCAATCTGGGTGAGCTGGGTGAGCTGGACGAGCGAAGAAAAAAGGCGCAATGCACAATCAACGACAAGCGCACGTGGAAGGAACACTTTTGAAGAAAGTACCCAAGGATGTTTTGTATTAGCAAATTCCGCCAAATACATCAATAACAGTTGTTTCCGTGGTGTAGTTGGCTATCACATCAGTCTCACACACTGAAGGTCTCCGGTTCGAGCCCGGACGGAAACATACTTGATTTTTCTTTCTTTTGCCGCGAACAATAAATTGTGCGCGTGTGTTTTCCCCCACAGAACAACCCAAACCCAAAACGCTGCAACCGCCACTCATCGAGCCGCAGCCCACACGTCCCCCTCTCAGCATTCCACCCATCCATTGCCACCTCAACCAGTCCTTTTGTTTGCTGGCGAGTAACAACTGATCGGCGAGTGCACAAGCACAGGCAGACAAGAAGAAGGCAGGCCAGCAACCAACGGATCGCGTCTCATTCACCTCCTGATTCTTTCTCACTCCCTCTGCCCCCCTCCCCCTCCAATCTGGATGGCGTTGCATGCAAGCACGTCTGGCGTGGCCGCGCGTACGCGTGGGGCTGCGCGGATGGCGCGTCTTCTTCTTCTTCTTGTGCTAAAGCTGATGATGTTGCTGGTGGTGCTGGGCGGGAACAAGGGGAACAGTGGCTTGCGCCTCCCTGCTGCGGCTGCTGCCGCTGCTGAGGGCGATCGCCCAAACGTCATCGTGTTCCTGCTGGACGATGTCGGTGCGGCGCGGTTCCCATTTTATGGGAGTGAGACAGATGTCACCCCGAACATCAACTCGCTCGCGGACAAGGCCGTTGTCTTCGATTCCTTCTTTACCCAGCCAGTGTGCGGCCCTTCTCGCGCCACGCTGCTCAGCGGGCGCTACCCTTCCAGCACGGGGGTGATCGAGAACAACTCAGACGCAGACACTTTCGCAGATGCAGACTGCACTCTTGGCTCGACCTTCCAGTCCGTCGGCTACAGCACCGCCGTCTTCGGCAAGCTGCATGCTGCCCACACGCACGTCAACACGCTGAACTCCAGCTGCGGCTTTGACAAGTGGTCAATCTGGGCCCGCGAGGGCGCACGTTACCACAACGCATTTGTATGTCGCACCATGTGTGTGTGTGTGTGTGTGCGTGTGTGTGTGCGTGTGTGTGTGTGTGTGTGTGTGTGTGTGTGTATGCGCGCACGTTGATCGCTTGACACGGCGATGTGTGCATCTTTGTACCGATGTGTGCATCGTTTTACGGATGTGTGTTTCTTTGTGTCTACTGGTCTCTGAGTCCATGTGCACTTTGAGGTCCAGATCTTCACATCATCACCCGGTGGCCCCTTGATCCCCCCTCCCACAAACTCATTCGTGCGCTTGCTCGTTCACTCCACGCAATCGCACCCTTGCTGATGCATGCTGTACAGATCACGACCAACCTCGGGCACGGCGGCAACCTGACGTACGACGAGATGGTGGAGGCTGCAACAAGCGTCAACGGCACCGCAGAATCCCGCACCTTCCAAATCCAAGACGCATACTGCCCACACCTCAACCGCGAGCTGGCCAAGGCGCACATCACCGCAAGCAAGGCCGAGGGTAGGCCCTTCTTCATGTATCTGCCCATGTTGCTAGCCCACGGCCGCTTTCCCGAGCGAGATTCCGAGCCGTCTCTGCCACCGGGCATGATCCCCGCAAGCGACCCGCCGTACAGCAACCTGTTTGACCAGCGCGTGATGGTCGCCGACGCCATCATCGGCGACATCCTGCGCCACCTCACCATCGAGGGCGTGGCCAAGAACACCATCGTCGTCGTGGTTGGTGATAACGGGGCCCCTCGCAAGGTGGAGGCTGTCGTGAACGGCGTCACGGTCGAGAGCGGCAAGTTCACCGCCTACCGCAGCGCAGGCACGCGCGTGCCCTGTCTCTTCTATGACCCGCGCATTCCGGTTGCAATCCCAAAGGCCCGCCGCATCCGCGCCGTCGCGAACATGTACGACATTCTCCCCACCCTCATGGACGCAACCAACATCGACCGCTTGCCTGCAGGCAAGAACAAGCCCAACGGCGCCAGCCTCTGGAAGTTCATCACAAACGATCGGCGCGGGTGGGGCAAATGGACGTTCCTGTTTGGTCAGCAGCCAGCACACGCCGTCATTCGCAACCACAAGGTCATCATCTCCTCCCTGGGCGACATCTACTCCGAGAACAAGTGGTACACTCCCAAGCCGCTTGCACCAACTGCAGTGTGCACCAAGAAGCTGGTGCGAAAGCGCTATCAGTACATGGTAAACCATGCCTGGAAGGCCGGTATCAACGTCACCTTGCCCGGCTCGGACACGCCGCTGGCCCCGTACTCCTGTGATGATCTCGTGTGCAACCCAGATACCAACCTTCTTGAGTGCATTACCACTAACTAGGCTTGTGTGTGTGTGTGTGTGTGTGTGTGCGTGTGTGTGTGTGTGTGTGTGTGTGTGTGTGTGTGTGAGTGTGAGTGCGTGCGAGTGCGTGCGAGTGCGTGTGTGTGTCTGCGCCATGCGTGTTGTGCAGCATGAAGCCTCGAGCTACATCCATGCATGCCTTGAATTTTCGCCTGTTTCGCTTGCTCATGTACAATCGTGCATTGAGCTTCTGACCCTTTTGTTTGCCCGCTCTTTCTGCATCTCACACGTGGTGTGGTTTGATGCCCTTCCTTGCCTGCTTTCTTGTTTGCTTGTTTCACATCACTTTGCTTGAGTCTTTTGGGGTTCTGACACGAGAAAATGCTGATGAACACACCCCAAGCACAAGCGCAAACACACACAGACTCAGTCACACAGGCTCAGACTCAGTCACACAGAATCAGACACAGACACAGACACACACACACCCAAAACACACAGACACACACACACCCAAAACACACAGACACACACCCACCCACCCAAGCACACACCAACACATCCAAAGCACACACACCACACGTGAGACAGACAGAACACGGCAACATACAAGCAAAGCAATACACAAGATAAACCAGCCTGCAATGTCATAAACCACGTCACTTCCTGCCCTTCAGCCGGGTCTCCAGGACAGGGAATGAGGGGCGGCGAGTCGCCTCCTGCGCCATACACATGTACGCGAGATCCCGATACCACTCGGGCGTGGGGTGTACGGCATCTATCATGCGAATACGCGGGCAAGATGTGCGTGAGTGTGCATGTTTGAAAAGGAGGACATCAGAGATGTGTGATTGCGAGCTGTCTCACGACGAACGAGGAATGACGTCAAAGTAAACACATTGACACAAACACACACAGACACACACACAGACACACAGACAGACAGACACACACACACACACACAGACAGACACACACACACACACACACACACAAGCGCACAGTCAACTCACCACCCTGTTTAACATCTTCGTCCTCGTCAAACTTGAGGCGCTTGCCCTCCTCCAGCAAGCTGCTCAGCGTGGCCAGCAATGGCCCACAGTACCCGCGCCCCTTCTCCTGCAGAATCAGATCTGGGTCGCGCTGGGTCGCCACCTCCCACATGAGCACGCCAAAGCTGAACACGTCTGCCTTGGCGTTGTACTTCTTGCCCAGCAGTGCCTCTGGTGCCATGTACAGCGGCGTGCCGACAGCAGCCGTCAGGTTCATGCTGACAGACGCCACGCCAGCACCAGCGCTGTACGGGAGGTCGCCGCCCGAAAACACCTGACCATCATTCCCGCCACCATCACCATCCTCGCTGTGAGCAGCGTTGTTGCTGCGGCGTGCAGGTGCAACCAGGCGATGGTTTGGGGAGATGCCGAGGTGCTGCGTAATGGTTCCAAAGTCTGTGATCTTTGCGCGCAAGTGGCTCGATACCAGCACATTGCCTCCCTTGAGATCCCTGATGACAATGCAGCCGGTTTGCGTGCGGTTGGTGTGTGCGCGTGAGACGAAGAACAACGGGCCAGTGACACGGTACGGCAAATGCAAACACACACACGCACACAGCGCAACACACAGCGCCACACACCACACACAGACAAACCCACACCCACACACTCATACCCACACCCACACACAGATACACAGGTATACACAGCGCAACACACAAGCCCCCCCCCCCCCACACACACATAGACAGCTACACACACCTGTGGAATTGGGCGAGGCTGTGGATAAACGCCATTCCACACGCAACGTCTTGCATCCACTGCAGCTTGAGATCCCACACAGACGCAGCAGCGCTGTCGCCACCATCATCGCGGTCATCAACACAGCTCTCCCCACTGCCTGCAAGCGGAACAACAACAGCAGCACCGCCACGTAAGCCACTGCCCCACCCACGTCTGTGCTGCTGCACAACAGCGTCAAGGTCTGTCCGCAACAGGTCTCGGAGCGATCCCAACGCAACAAACTCAAGCACAAGGAAAGGGCGCGCGCTGTCGTCTTTGCCGGCACCAAAGAAGCGCACGAGGTGCGGGTGGCGCGTGCGCTGGAGAAAGTCAACCTCCTTCTCAAACTCGCGCTGTGTGCCCTCGTCAAACGCAAGCGCCGTGTCCTTCATCACCTTCACGGCAACGTGCACCGTGTCCCACTCGGCCTCCCACACATCGCCGTAGGCACCAGACGCAATGTGCCGGCGAAGATCAAGCTCGTCAAATGGAATCTCCCACGCGGCCTTGAGCGCCAGCACCTCCGCGTCCTTCTCGGAGAGCAGCTGCACGTTGAGCTCGTTCTCTGCCCGCAGCAGCCGGTGTGTGCGGTACCAGCGGTACATGAAGTACAGCGCAGCCTGCAGCAGCAGCACGCCAGCCACCGTGCCCAGCACCACGGGCACGGGGTTGAGCTGCTTCTTGACACACGTCGTGCTGGCGCTGCCAATGCGGCCCCGCGTTTCATAGCCAACCGCACACGCGCACGAGTGGAAGTAGGCGAGGTTGTACTCCTGCACCTCCGGGCGCCCAAGCAGCCGCGTGCGAAGGTCCGTCACCTTGAGCTGGCACACCACGGGCGCGTTTGTCAGCTGCATGATGGGGATGCTGGGGCGGCTGCGCAGCCGGATAAACTGGTTGGTGTTGAGCTCCTGCGCGCTCACAGCGACAACCTGCCGCACAGAGCCCTCAATCACCGCCGGGCTTGACAGCCACTGGTTGTCGCTCAGGTCAAGCAGCTCCACATTGCTGAACGTCAAGCACTGCGCAAGCAGCGTCTGCGTGTGCGTGGGCGCGCGCACCTGCATGTTGTACCAGCTCCTGGCCACAACAACACGGCTGCCGAGCGAGTGGCACAGCGCGCGCGTGAGTGGCACTTGCGTGCGGCTGATATCGACAATCTGCACAGAGGGCACGGCCAGGCTGGTCAGCTCGGGGCACCCGGACACGTTGAGCTGCTGTGCCGACGCGTACAGGGTCACGCTCTCCAGCCGTGGGTTGCCTTGCAGAAACACAACGTCAATGTCGTTGTCGCGGCACAGGTCAATGCGCGAGTACCCCGTGTTGCGCAGCCCAACGCTCTCCACCTGTGGGCTGAGGAGCTTGCACAGCTGTGGCAGCGGTACGCTTGCCTCGTCCATCCCCGGCCACCCAAGATAGAGGCCTTTCAGCTGCAGTGGTGGTGCTGCTGGTGTTGCCGCCGCCAACGCAGAAAGCAGCGCGCGCACATCGACATTTGTGATGTCGAGTTGCACCAGCGGCGCGGAGATGGCAGCCAGGGCAGCGGCGGGCGATGTGATGTGGGGATCACGCACGGTGGGCGCTGGGCTGATCTCCAGTCGCTGCAGACGCGAGAGGGCAAGCAGCGGCGCAATGTCGAGCGCACTGATGGCGTTGTTGTTGAAGTAGAGGGAGCGAAGCGTAGGCAGGCCTGTCACGTCAAGCATCTGCGTGATGGGGTTGCTGTTGAGGCGGAGGGAGGTGATGGAGGGGAGATGCACACCGCGCGGGAACACCGTCAACCGGTTGTGTGCAATTGACAGGTGCTGCAGGTTTGGCAGGTCAGCCAAAAACGCGCAGCCACCGCCGCGAAGTTGCTGTTGCTGCTGCTGCTGCATTTGCATTTGCTGTTGCTGTTGGGGTGCCGTTGTGGGACCTGCTGCTGCTGTTGCTGTGACTTCGAAGGCGGTTGGCGGGAGGGAGGCAATCTGGTTGTGGCTGAGGTCCAGGATGCGAAGGAGGGTGTGGTTCTGCACCAGGCACGGCGGTACAGCAGTGATGCTGTTCTGCTGCACGCTGAGATTCTCCAACACGGGCATCGCCTGCAGTAGCGATGGCGGCAGGGATGTGATGCTGTTCTCGAGCACAAGGAGGTCGCGGAGGTGCGGAGCATATCCGCCAAACCAGTCCATCGACAGCTGCGTCAGCGCATTGTCCTGTAGGGAGAGCACACTCAGGCGCGTGAGGGCAGCAAAGGTGTTGGGCGGGATGTGGGACAGGCGGTTGTGCCTGAGATAGAGCTCCTGCAGGTTGGGTGTGGAGCTGAAGAGCCCGGGCGGAAGGTGGGTGATGAGGGTGAAGGTAAGGGTAAACCAGCGAAGGCGAATCTGGTCGGCAAGCAGCGTTGCAGGCAGCGATGTCACGACGCTGACGCCGAGGTCCAGGTGGACGAGCCGGGAGAGGCCACGGAAGAGGTTGGGGTGCAAGGTGGACACGTCGTTCCTGCTCAAATTAAGGAAGAGGAGGGACGTGAGCGGGGCAAAGGCCGTGTTGTCGATGGAGTGGATGTGGTTGTGGGCGAGATCCAGCACGCGCAGATTCCCGAGCGCAGCGAAGGTGGCGTTGGGGATGGTGGTGAGCTGGTTGCTGTGCAGGACAAGGCGGTCCAGGGAAGTCATGTTGCTAAAAGTGGTGTCGTGGAGTTGGCGCACGCGCGTGTTTGTCACGCTGATGCGCTCAATCTGGCCGGCGAGCACGAACGGGAGGTGGCGTGCTGCATATGTGTCGCTGTACATGCTGCTACGCTGCGCCGTGTTGTTGGTAAAGGCTGAAATATTGGTGAAGGCAAGTGAGGACATGATGTCTTCGCCTTCATCGTCTGTGGGCGCAGGCGACAGCCCAAAGACCACGGTGCTGGTGTTGGCAATGTCGATGCGCGTGAGCGTGCTCAGCGGGTTGAGCATGTTCAGGAAGAAGAATGGCGACACGAGGCTTCGCAGCTGCACAGAGGTGATGCCGGCCCATGCCGAGCCACCCGTGGTGAGCACAAACTCGAGGTCGCCCGTGTGCACCTTGCCGGAGATTCTGAGGAGCGACGGCTGCACGGTTGACACGAGGGCGCTGATCCACGCCGTTACGTTGGCTGTGGACACGGGTTGCAAGGAAGGCAGCAGGGGCGTGTCATCGTCCACGGCATCGAACCACAGCACGAGTGTGCTGCTCTGTTGCACCAAGGTTCCTGTGGCATCTGTGGTTGTGCAGTTCCCAGCAACCAGAGCGGATACAAAGCACGTGATGCTGCCGCGATTGTTCTCCTGAGCAGCAAGTAAGGCACGTCGACCACGGTGTTGTTGTTGTTGTTGTTGTTGTTGTTGTTGTTGTTGTTGTTGTTGTTGTTGTTGTTGATGATGATGTTGATGATGATGATGATGGGAGAGCGCTATGGCTGCTGGCTCTGCCGATGCAGTCTGACCAGTAGCCACAGCTTTCAACCGGCTCAAACCGGCCCCAGCAAGTGCGGCGGTGCTGCTGGTAAGGGTGGCTGCTTTATCTTGGGCATGCTGGCCACACATGGCCTGAAGCATGGCGTGTAATGGAGCAAGCTCGTCCTGCGCGGTTGGCGCTGCAAGGCGTCGGAGGGCTTCCTGTGCATCTGCGCAAAGCCTGCGGTGTGCGGGGCAGCCCACGCCAATGTGGTGCGTTGCATCGTGCAATGTGCACAGCAGCAGCGGTGGTGTCGTGTTTGATACAACATGGGCTCCAGCACCAGTCTCAGACACCAGCGTCACAACCGCCAAGACAAAAGGAACAACCACTGCAGCAGCCAAACGCCAACGTGCCACTCCCACTACAGCCATGATGACAGATGCTTAAGTGGTGGGTGGTGGCGCTGCTGCACTGTTGGTTGGTTGGTTGTGAGTTCGTGGGCGCCACACGCGTCGTTGTGATCAGCCCGCGGGGAAAAAAAGATCGAATGTGTTTGGAAAAAAAGAACGAATGTGTTTCCGTCCGGGCTCGAACCGGAGACCTTCAGTGTGTGAGACTGATGTGATAGCCAACTACACCACGGAAACAATTCCTGTTGTCGAAGGGCGTTCAATTTGTGTATTTGAATGTGACCCCTATTCTTGTGTGGGTCGTGGCACGAGCATCTCTCTCTCTTCTTGCCAACGGGAAGGCAAACAACCACACAAACAGAACACTGACCTTGACCCCCCCCTCATTTTCGTCGCCTTCCCTTCCACACCTTCACCTTCACCTTCACCTTCACCTTCACCCAGCCACCAGCAGACAACCAGCACACCTCTGACCTTCTTCACCAGCACCGGCACCAGTGCACCAAGCAAGCAGCCGCCACCGAGACCGGCACCACCGGCGAGATGGCTCTGTTTGGTGGCGCCAGCCAGGGTGCTGGGCGCACTGCGCTGTGCAACGGTGACTTTGTGTCGCTGTTTGTGGAGGAGCTCAAGGGCTTCGCCAGCGTGGACATTCTGTCGACGCGTGAGGTCACCGTGTACCAGGGCGACACGGACTCCGCGTTTGATGGCAGCACAAGCACCAAGTCATCCTCGGAGACCACGACCGCGCCCAACTTTGAGCAGTCGTGCGTCTTCCAGATCAAGGCGGTCACCGATCTGCCAGAGGGCGCCAGCCTCAAGTACGGTGATGTCGTGCGCATCATCCACCGCAGCACCCAGCGCAGCATGACGCGCCAGAACCGCGCCGTCAACGGCAAGCACGCCGTGGCGCTGGAGAACACGGACCGTGCCGCCGCGCACTTCCGCCTCCTCCCGCGCTTCAAGATCCGCTCCGTCGGCGAGCCCGTGCTGCTCAACGACCAGGTCATCTTCCAGAACGAGGTGGTCATCGAGGGCAACCGCACGTACCTGAATGACGAACCGGCCAAGAGAACTCGCCCAAGTTCCTCATGGAAGTGCGCTCAAGCAAGAACCAC